AGAAAGGTAATTTTGAATCTTTTATCATAGAGACCAATTTGTTGGTCACTTCTGCTACCTGGTGTATTGACTCCAAGGCTTCAACTTATGCGTGTAATTCATTGCAGGGGTTCAAGATAAGCAGAAGACTAGGTGACAGAGAAGTGATGGGACTTCTGCAACAGTTGCAGCTACAGCCATAGGAACTGTATAATTAGTTTTTAGAGAAGGAATTATTGTACTAAAAGATTGTCTTTTCGTACCAAATTTAAGAAGAAATTTGATTTCTATCTCAAAATTGTGCATGGATGGTTATTCTATCTTATTCAATAATGTCATTACTATTAAACGGAATAAAAAATTCCTCGCATACGGAGAACTTGAGAATGGTCTCAATGTTCTCCATCATTCTCTGGAAATGAATCTTACTGAAACTACGTCAGAAATAATCCCCAAGAAGAGGACCCGTGATACAGTGAATCCCATGTGCCTGTGGCATTACCGACTTGGCCACATTAATATAGATTGTATCATAAGGTTGGTAAAGGATGGTCCTTTGGATTTTCTAACTATAAAAGATCTTCCAACTTGTAAATCTTGCCTTCAAAGTAAGATGACGAAACGACCATTTAACGGTAAGTCTAAAAGATGTACAGACACACTTGACTTTATACATACTGATATATGTGGTCCCCTGAATGTTAGGACATGTAACCAGCATGTTTATTTCATAACCTTTACCAATGAATACTCACGGTATGGTTACGTGTACCTAATGAGACATAAGCCTGAATCTTTTGAAAAGTTTAATGTTTTTAGACAAGAGGTCGAGAAACAGTTAATGAGAGAAATTAAAACCCTTCAATCAGATCGAGGTGGCGAGTATCTCTCTGACAAATTCAGGGACTACTTGAAGGACTATGGGATAGTATCACAATTAGCTCCTCCTGCTATACCACAATTAAACGGTGTGTTAGAGAGGAGGAACCAGACTTTATTGGATATGGTTCGATCACTTCTCGTACTCTCAGAGTTACCCACATCCTTTTAGAGTTACGCATTAGAGACTGTGATATACATGCTGAAACGGGTTCCAACCAAATCCGTTCCGAAGACTCTCTATGAGCTTTGGACCGGTAAGAAACCAAGTGTAAGACACTTGAAGATTTGGGGTTGTCTGGCACATGTTAAAAGAACAGGTGTTGACAAATTGGAATCCAACACCAGCCATTGCCTATTCATAGGCTACCCCAAAGGCTTTATGGGTTACTTATTCTATGATCCAAAAGAGCAAAAGGTGTTTTGTAGTCAAAATGCCCAATTCTTAGAAGAAGAGTACATCATGGATAATCATCATCAGAAAGTTGTTCTTGATGAGGAGAGCCCAGGGGTAGTGGGAGATGTCCCACCAGCTCTAGAAAATAACCAACCTTGGAGATCTACCCGGGTTTCTTGGCCTCCAGTTCGTTTCGGCTATGACCAAGAAAGTTACTTGGTGGAAGCCACGACCAGTGAGGAGGATCCCGTGGGTTATACAAAAGCTATGTTGGACATAGATTCCTTAAAGTGAGTAGATGCGATGAAGGCTGAAGTGGACTCAATAGAGACCAATGGAGTCTGGACTCTGGTAGATCCGCCCCCTAGGGTAAAAGCAATTGGTTCCAAATGGATCTATAAGAGGAAGAAGAGCCCTGATGGTAACGTTGAGACCTACAAGGCTCATCTTGTGGTGAAAGGGTACACTAAGAAAGAAGGAATCGATTATGAGGAAACCTTTTCGCCTGTGGCCATGCTTAAATCCATTAGGATCCTACTAGCTGTAGCAGCGTACCATGATTTTGAGATTTGGAAAATGGATGTCAAAACTGCGTTCCTGAATCGAGATCTTATTAAAGATATCTATATGCAGCAACCGCAAGGTTTCATAGCTGCGGGTCAGGAACACATGGTATGTAAACTAAACCGATCCATATATGGACTTAAGCAAGCTTCTAGGAGTTGGAACATCYRGTTTGACTCTACSGTYAAACAGTTTGACTTTGAGCAAAATCCGGATGAGCCCTGTGTCTACAAGAAAACCAGTGGTGATAAGGTTACGTTCTTGGTTCTGTATGTAGATGACACTCTACTCATTGGGAATGATGTAGGAATGTTGACTACGGTGAATGTACGACTTTCACAGCAATTCTCCATGAAAGATCTTAGAGAAGCATCCTACATACTGGGTCTTAGGCTCTATAGAGATAGATCGAAGAGGATAATAGGATTATCCCAGTCTGCTTACATTGACAAATTGTCAAGAGATACAACATGAAGAACTTCAAGAAAGGAAATGTTCCTTTTAGGCATGGAGTCACTCTCTCCAAGGGCATGTCTCCAAAGACTCCCGAAGAGATTGAAGGCATGAAAGAGGTTCCCTATGCCTCAACCGAAGGGAGCATCATGTATGCCATGCTGTGCACTCGTCCTGTCATTTCTCAAGTAGTGAGTGTGGTAAGAAGATACGAATCTAACCCAAGGCAAGAGCATTGGACCGCTATGAAAAACATACTAAAATACCTTCGAAGGACAAAAGAGTTTTGTTTGGTGTTTGATGGTAGTTCACTACAGATCCAGGGGTATACTGATGTCGATTTCCAGTTAGATCCAGATGATAGAAAGTCTACATCTGGTTATATCTTCACGATAGGATCGTGTGCTATTTGCTGGAAACGCAGCAAACAGGGGTCCATGGTGGATTCCACAACCGAAGCTGAATACATTGCCGCAAGTGAAGCTACCAAAGAAGCCGTTTGGATGAAGAAGTTCATTCAGGAATTGGGAGTAGTTCCATCCAACACATCACCCATTCCATTGTTGTGTGACAACACTGGAGCCACTACTCAGACTAAGGAGCCACGAGCCCACTCGAAGTCGAAGCACATCGAGAGGAAGTACAATGTATTGTGAGAGATAGTTGGAAGAGGGAACATCCTGATTCAGAAGGTAGCATCAGAGGAAAATGTAGCAGACTCGTTGACTAAGCCACTAGCACAGAAAGTGTTTGAGAAACACGTGGAAAGCATATGACTCTGGCTTGTACACAATTGGACCTAAGTGCAAGTGGGAGCTGTTAGACAGTGTATGCCCTATATTTCCAATCATAATAATATACATTATGACATTTAATGTAAATGAATAAAGTACTCATTTGATTCATGTTATTATGGTGTGTTTCTATGTAATACCCTTAAACTGGACACATATGAGACTCGTGTTAGTTTAGAATCTTCACAGCCGTTGGATAGATCTGACATTCATGTGCCGCCAAGTTCGTTGGGGTGGCTTGTCTCAGTTGGCAGGGTGAGACCTGAGGTACATGCATTGTGGGTTTTCTTGAAACCTTAAACCGGACTAGAATTCCAGTATTGCCCTGAGGTACATATAGTATTGCTCTTGTCTTCTGCTCTTTCCTGCTCTTGCCACCCTTCTCAGTTCGATCTCCACCTGTAGGAGTGATCAAGAAAGGTTCTTGATATTACCTTTTGGTAAAAAAGGTAATCTGAAGTCGTGCTCACTAGCCCTCCATCACATTCTTGCTAAAAAATTCGGTTCTTGCTAAAGAGCCGTCCTGCTGATTCTGCTTCATCCTGCACCGTGTCATCTTTGGTGGAAGTAGTCTTTGGATTCCTCCTTGGGCGTGAACACCTTCATTGGGGGTTATTATTACTTCTTATCAGGTATATCCCTCCATTCCCTTTTGGTTTCAGATCTGGTCGGGTTTGGTTTTAAGATTGATCATTGAAAATGCAGTTTTCTAAAATAGGAATTGCGATTCCTACATGGGAGAGAGAATTCTTTTGAAATTTCGCCCAACCTTCTTGTAGGGTTTGGTCATCCATATGATGGATCTCTCATCCCTTCAGCTCCTAGAGTTCGAATGCTGAAAAGAGAGTGCCCTAGAATGGATGGTGGAGATTAGAAGGGACGAAAGGTGAGGATTTAGCAGTCAGGGGCAGATAGGGTTTGTTAAGAGTGAAAAGAATGGATTAAAAGGCACCCTACGGTTTGCTAAGGCGTGGGGAGCATGCTAATACAATAGGAGGGGCGCCAAATTGGGTTTAGCAGCTTGGAGAAGCCCTCCTACTTTCAGTTTTTCACAAAAACACCCCCTCTCTCAACTGGACTTCACACCAGCTTCCCGAAATCTGCATTTCATCCATGAAAACTTCTCAGTTTTGCACAGAATTTGCACAGGGACCCTCAGATGTCACAACATTGAAATTAATTAGAAAAAGGACACAATTTGACTACTCTAAGCTCGATAATACCCTTGAATTGATGCTCTTAAGACATCAAAATGCAGAGTTATCATAGCCTTATCCAGTTTAAGCACTACATTTCCCCCTACAACCTTTCTGTCAATATCTATTACCATTTTCTATACCAAAGCTACATTATTCATGATGTTTCACCCCTGAATGAAAGCACCCTACTCTAGTGAAATTAACTTAGGTAAAATACTAGCCAGTCTTTTAGTAAAGATTTTTGCAATAATTTTGTAGCAGAAATTACCTAAGTTGATGGGGTGGAAATCTGTGAAACTCTTAGGGACCTTGCATTTTGGTATCAAAGAAATAAAGGAGGAAGTGTAGCTTACCAGAAGCTAGCCACCATTGAAAAAGAATTGGACAACTCCTACCACATTCTCTTTAACAATGTCCCAACACGAGATAAAAAAATGTCCTATAAAACCTTTCGGCCATGGTGCATTGTCTCTGTCCATGGCATGAACCACCTCTTGAATTTTTATCTCAGAAGGAATAGCCAAAAGATTGTTACTGTCTTCCTGATTAACCACACACGGAATGATTTTGTTTCAACTCCTCTAGGTCAGAAATCCAATCACCTAAAGAATTTTTTATTTTGTTGATTCTGCTCCTCGTTCGGTTTAGCTTAACAAATAGATGAAAAATTTTTGAGTTTCTATCCCCCTATTTCAACCATTAAATTCTAGATTTTTGCCTCCAAAAAATTTCCTCCTATTTGTGAACTTCATGAAGTTTCTTCCTCTCCTCCCTTAACTCCATGAATCTAGCAGCAGAGTTCATCTTTAAATGATTCAATTCAGCCTGTTGAACCCTGTCTTCTGCCTCCTTGATAGCCTGATGAGCATTCCAAAATACCTATCAATTCCATTTGTTGAGTTTACTCCTTAATTTATGTAGTTTGAGAAATAAACTCACCAATGGATTGGCTTAAACCTCCTTAGTCTAACAATCCTTGACAACCATGTGAAAAGAGTGATGAGAGAGCCACATCTGCTGAAACATGAATGGTTTAGGACCTGTCTGTCTTTCCTCCTCAATAGAAAAAACCAAAGGGCAGTGGTCTAAACAGGTGCAATTAAGATGTGTCACAGGATTCAAAGGGAAGGATTGTGCCAAGCTTGAATTAACCAGAACTCGATCCAGATGAGCCCAAACACAGTCCAATTCCTCTCTGTTATTACACCAAGTGAATCTGCTTCCAGAGAAACCCAAATCAACCAGGCCTATGACATTTATTAGATCCACAAAATCGTCCATTGTAGACACATTAGGATTTCTTTCCCCCACTTTCTCCTCTTTACAAGTGATCACATTAAAATCTCTAGCTAACAACCAGGGTTTAGAAATACGAGAGGCTAAGTTCCAAATTATGTCCCAAAGAGACATTCTTTCCATCCGATCACATTTGGCATAAACCACAGAAAGAGCGAAGCTCTCATTGGTAGTGGTGGTGACTTTCACCGATAGGATTTGATCACAGTCCTTAATCAACTGTACAGAGAAAAGGCTATTCCAAAAAAGAACAATTTTACTACTGATATTCACCATAAAACCAGTCATATTGAGTCTCTTGGAAATCTGGGAAAGTCTATCATCCCCAATCATGGGTTCAGAAACTGCTACTACACCTAACTTATACAGTTTGCAAAGTTTTATCAGACAAGTGATAGAGGGATCATTTGCAATCCCTCTAATATTCCAGAATAGACCATTCATTGAGGACATCTAGAAGTAGTCATACCTTGGCTAGTCTGCGATCTGGTAACTGGTTTGTTCTCACTCTGTATGTATTTTTTGTGAGGCCTTTTCTTGCGAACCACTTGTGTCCAATTCGCTCTCACCTTTAACCCGGCTTCATCATCAGATAAGGCATAGGAAGAACTCAACATCAAAACTGAGGCCAATGTTGTACCCCCTACGAGAAAGCCTCTCGTCCAATTCCAACATGGATTGTTGTAGCTCCTTAAGACTCCAGATCTTGTCAGGTTTCCTAGACGAAAAAGAGATTGTCTCCAGACTGATTAGCTGAACAGGCTTCAAACTAATGTCATCTTTCGAAGCAAAAGATGTACGCACCCCTCTACAAGTAATATCAACTATTCTGGGATTTCAGGTTGCTGAGCATGGATCTCTTCTGTATCTGCATGTTCTATGACTACAGCTTTGGGACCGTTGCTGGGGTTCTTCAAACTTCCTAGTAAACCTGCTTCACAGTTTGTTTTTTCCTGGGTGCTTTAGGATTAACAGGCATTTTAGCTGAAGTTGGTTTAGACTTGGTGACTTTTCCCTCAGATTTCAATACTTGGTACAAGCTTTTATAATCATGAGTTGGCACATTTGGTACAAGCTTTTATAATGATGAACTCGGTACTTGTTGAAGAAATATCTCCCTTATTATCTGCGAGATATTCCCAATACACAGCATGATATTTTGTGAGTAGAACAGTTTATCGGTAGTAGATCCAGAGTGGGGATGTCTCTAGCAATCTGGATCACTTCATTTAATGGACTTGCAACTCATTGAGTTGGGCACTGGCACCCAACATAACATCCCAAGGGATAGAGTCTTTGCCTTTCATTACCTTCTTGCATCTCATCCAAGGGGTCAGAGAGAGAGAGACCAAATAGGATGGCGAGTACAATGAAGAAACCTGTGATTAATAGCAATGTTTTTAAAACTGGATTGGACCGGATGGTCGTATCAGAAAATGGGAACCGGTCAAGAACTGTCGATTTGGTCAGAGAACCGTTATTTGGCCAAGAACTATTGCTTTGGTCAGTGAACTATTGACCTAAGTAATTGAACCGTTGAACCATTCGACCTGGAAACAGTTTTGACTGTTTTTTGGCTTTTTAATTTTTTAATTTTTTTTGTCAAAATGGACCGTCCATTCAGACTAGATGGTTGGACCGTTAAACCTGAGAACCAGACCCAAAATGATCCTCTATCTGGTCTGATTTTAAAAACCTTGATCAATAATTTCTAGTGATTGATTACAAATTGGGCAAGAGCTATCTACATGGAGGTAAATGAGAAATTCTCCATAAGCTCTTCCAACTAAGGCCCGGGCTGACCAAGTGGCTAGTAGAAGAAGAAGAAACAGAATCTCATACCAATAATTTATAAGCTGAATTTGAAGCTAAGGGCATACAAAAACTGTCTAACACAGTCAATCCTTTCGCAATGATCACGGGCAATATTTCTTTGTCGCCCAAGTATGCATACTTAAGGTGAGCTAGTAAGGTCTTTAATTCCAACTTTGGAGCCTGCAAAACGGAAGGCAACAATTTCTTGTGAGAAAATGACAATGAAATATCAGAATTGATTACCTTTTGTTCTGGTATCGATTCCGGAGTTTCGCAGGATGCATCAAACTCCTCCTCCCTGTCCATTTGTGCACTTAATTCAAGTTCTTCATTCATGTCCTCTTCTCCAAAAGTTTCCTACACAATTGAATCAATAGTGTCAATAGAGCAAATCAAATGACATTCATTTGGATATTTCATAGCTTCAAAGATATTAAATTTAACAATCTCTTCGTCGAACTCGACGGAGAGGGTACCCTCATCCACATCTATTTTGGTCTTGGCCGTTTTCATGGCCTGCCTAATAGAAGTGGGGCTGAACTTGTGACCGTGTCCTCCTCCATCTTCAGAATGTAAAAGTCAGCTGGAAAGATTAGATCATTAACCTGCACCAACACATCCTTAACAATCCCTTCTAGGTAGGCGTTAGAACGATCAGCTAGCTGAATGACTACCCTAGTTTCCTTTAAGGGACCTAATCTCAAAGCACAATAAATCGAGTATGGCATGACATTGATGGATGCACCTAAATCTAACATGACATGCTCGATTCTTTTATTGCTAATCACACAAGGTAAAGTGAACATACCTGGATCAGCACGTTTTTCCGGCAAGGTCCTCTTAATGACAGCTGAAACGTTCTCTCCAACCCTTACCTTCTAATCGATTCGCAGCCTCCTCTTGTTAGTGCACAATTCTTTCAGAAATTTTGCATAATCTGGAATCTGTTTGATGGCATCTAATAAGGGAATGTTTATTTCCACCTTCCTGAAGGTCTCCAAGACTTCTTGCTCATATTCTTCCTTCTTGGATTTTTCCAACCTACTAGGAAATGGAGGCACAATGGCATTAGTAATCTTTGGGAGAGGGGGGTCGGATATTACCTTAATGGGGCTTTCGTTTGAATCTTGTTTCTCCTCTTCCTTCTGTCCCTCATCTGCCTTCCTTAGTGTGGTAGGTTGTGGCTGCAATTCCTTCCTGCTTCTCAGCACCACTGCACTAGCATTTTCCTTGGGATTAACTACCGTCTGCAATGGTAGCCTTCCAGAGTTCTACGCCTCCAACTTGCTAATGGAACTAGCAAGCTGACTGATTTGGTTCCCTAAGTTCTGGATGCTGGCCCTTGTTTCTTGTTGAAATTGTTGAGTGTTAGTAGCAAGAGCCTTAACGATTTCATCTAGTGACATACCTAAACTTGAGGGTTCACTTTGCACTGAGATAGGTGCTGAAATTGGGGGCTGTTTGTTGAAAGCTTGGGGCTGATATCTCTGTGGTCCTCCTTGATTTCCGTAGCTCAGATTGGGATGATCCCTCCACCCAGGATTGTAGTAATTGGAATAGGGATCATACTTGCATTGGGGTTGGCCCGGAAATCCTCCTACAGCACTAACTTGCTGCATCGAACCATCCTGCAATGATGGACACATATCCGTAGGATGCCTAGGAATCGAACAGACATCACATACCCTTGCCGTTTGCAATTGCCTTGCAGCCAGTTGTCGAACCAAGGCAGTTAGATCAGAAATTTGATTTTCTAAATTAGAATGACTTACCTCATTAACACGCCTGATAGTACCATCTGTTCTTGCTCCAAATTGTTGGGAATTTTTGGCCATGTTGGAAATCAATTCCCTAGCCGCTTTGGGTGTTTTATTGACCAAGGCTCCTCCACTAGCTGCGTCTACCATACTTTCTATCCATAGGTTGGAGTCCTTCATAGAAGTATTGGATCCAGAGCTGTTCGGGTATTTGGTGGTGGGGACAGCTAGCACAAAGTTGTTTAAATCTTTCCCAATATTCGTATAGTGTCTCACCACCAAACTGCCGAACTCCATAGATTTCCTTCCTAATATTTGCAGCTTAGGATGCATGAAAATATTTATCTAAAAACATTCTATTCATCTCATCCCATGTACGTATCGAACCAGGAGAAAGAATGTATAACCAATCCTTTGCTTTATCTCATAAAGTAAAAGGAGCTATAAGTTTTACCTGATCCTCAGTCATACCCTGTGGTTTCATGCTTGAACAGACAACATGGAATTTCTTGAGATGCTTATGAGGGTCCTCACCTGGAAAGCCATGAAAAATAGGAAGCAGTTGAATCAATCCAGATTTTAGTTCAAAGGCTACCTCAAGAGCGGGATATATTATGCATAGGGGCTATTGGTTCATGATTGGTGCAGCCAATTCCCTTAGCGTTCTCTCTCTATTAGCCATCCTTTCTTCCTCTTCGAAAATAGGTGGATCACAAGTTGGCAAGTCGAATTCAGAATTCACCCTTGGAGGTGAACGGTCATTCCTTTGCTTTGCCTCCTTCCTTAAACGACGGGTAGTCTTCTCAATTTTGGGGTTGTACTCTAGTTCACCTCTTTGAGAAGCACAAGTATAAAATAAAGAAGGTTAACACAAATAGAAGGTAACAAGCTAAGAAATTAAAGTATCTCCCTGGCAACGGCGCCAAAATTTTGACGGGTTGTCGAAGCCCTCCAAATTAATGCTAGTCCCACAATAAATTTGTAGTAGTAGTAGTGGTACTAGGTCGAATCCCACAGGGAGCTAGGGAATGGTTTCCTTTAGTTTGGGCCCTTAGAAGGCCCGGTGGACCACAGGTTTATCGCAGTTTTGCAATATGCATTGTAAGTTCACTGCAAGGTTGATGGTGTGTTGTGGGTTCAGCGCAGCATGTGGATTATTGTGGGTTTTTTGCACATAACTTTGTGGTGTTAATCTCGATGTTTGATGTTCTCTGAGGGTCTGAACAAGCACTATGTACCTAGACTAGTTATTATTGTGTTGTCTACCCCTAGGGAAGAATTACTCTTTCCCTTTTATAGAGAGGAATTTAAGGTTATCAATGAAGAAGTTCTTTCCTGTTAGGAAAGGGGATCTTTTCTGTTAGGAAAAGAGATCTTTAATTTTTGTTTGACTATTAAGGGATCATTATTAGAGAATCCTATCCCTTTCGGATTCTGACATGGCATGGTGACATCATCATTTGGTGGGTGTACTTATTAAACCCGCATGTGTAATTTAAAGACGCACGTGTAACCGGCGTGTTCGGGGTTCATCACAACCTATCCTGGGTATGAGTTCACCATAGATTTGCGATGAGCTTTGAAATCATCGCAAACGTATGATGGGTTATAGATTCATCACAGGCATCCATGTAGTGTTGGTTTGACACCTTCTATATTCTAATGGACTTAGTGACCACTATGTACCTACATTAGCTCCCCTGCTTATCGGTAAGTAGGAACTTACTGATATGCATTTCATCTTCGTATTTGCTTCTGGGTTTTGCGTTGGGGCGATGAGAAAGAGAATCATAGATGTTGTGACATCCTGATCTTTTCGTATTAGGTATGGTGATCGCTCCTATTCTTGGTGAGATGCTCTACGAACTTTGC